GAATGATGCGTGTTGGGTGAGGGAGGCTGAAGAGCCTGGGGGAGGAGGGAAAGGACGAGACACTGGTGGAGAGAGGGAGGAGGGAAAGATGACGGGAGGCGGAGAAATGGAAGAGAATGGGGAGAGATGGGGATGGAGAAAGATCCCTGGGGCCATGGCTATGGGCCAGAGAACCAGGATCCTGGCAGAGGGAGAGCCAGGCTGAGACGGCAGGGAAAATCCAGTCTGGTCTCTGGCCGGTCTCTGCACTGACCAGGCTCCCACAATGGCCCTTCCGGGATCCCCCAAGCTGAGCACCATCCCACCTGGGCTCCCACCTTTCACACAGCAGGATCCCTCACACACACCCCCTCAGCGCTCTGCCCCAGTCCCTAAACAAGCCCCCTTCCTCAGAGTCACGACGGGGAGCTCTCCTGCTCCCCTGTGTCTGTGCAAGCTTCTTCCTCTCCTTTTTCTTTTTGTATAACAAACTTGCTCTTTAAAAAAAAGTCTGGAAGGGTCTTCCCAGGGAAGGGAAGACCGGGTTGAAATATTGACTTTTTGTAAAGCCTGTTCACAGGACTGGGCAGACTCGGAGGCTGGAAGGAGGCCGCTCGGCAGCCACGGCCTCAAGCCCACCATGCACGGCTGGGACTTCGGGGCCCTGTGCCAGCTCCCTTCACTCCGTGGGAGGCTGGAGGCTGAGTTGGGGAGAAGAACTAAGTGCTATGTGGAGCTGAAGACAGGAGGAAAGGGCCCCCAGGTTTTGTTCATTCCCATCAGCTCCTTCGTGTCCAGCACTGGAGAGCCTCTCTGCACCCAGGCAGGGGGCGTGAGTGGGGCTGTGACCCAGGAGACACAGAAGAGGCAGCGCCCGGAGGTGAAGTCCCACCATGCAGGCAGTCCTCCAGGGATGCAGAAGCTTTGTAGGAGCTGAATGGTTTGGGAAGCAAAGGAAGCAGCCAGGTCTATGCAGTCAAACCAAGAGAAAAAGTTCCCAGCAATGGAGGGTGTCAGGAAGGATGAGTTTCTGGCTGGAGAGGCCCACAGGTCACTCTGCAGGGAGGCAGAGGACTGGCCTGTGTGACCGCAAAGGTCCTCCCAGTCTGGCTTCAGGACTCAGGCTGAATTCTTTGCTTCAGTTTTGAAACACATGCATGGCCAATTATAGACTTCGACAGTTCACTAGCTCAGGCCCTCTCATGAGCTCTGTACCCTCACTGTGCTGGGGTCCCTCGGCCGATGTCTGTCCCCCGGCTAGAACCTGGACACCCAGAGGAAGCAGCACCCTGAGCTGCTCTCAGCTGAGCTCTCTCCCACGCGCCCCACCTGCATCACCCAGCCAACGAAGCCATGCAGCGGGCAGCAGAGGCCCCTTCAGCACAAGACCTAGTCTGAAAGGAAGGAAAGGGGAAAATGCAAAAGGAGAGGAGCCCCAGGCTTGTAATTTCTCCTTCTGTCAGCAGAGACTTCGGGTGCGCGAGACACTGTTTGAGGTGCAGTCGTTAGAGACAAGTCCCTGCGCTTATAGCGTGTAGGTGCCAGCAGGAGCAAGAAGCAATAAATGAGTGGGGAAGCGAATACTGTGTCGGAGGCAGTAAGGCTGCTGAGAATGATAACTCAGGACATCAGGCGGGAGGGAGGGAGGTGGGGAGATGGGCAGTTGCTACCCTTGGTCGAGTGATAGCAACCAGGCAGAGGCAGAAAGTGAGGGGAAGCCCCGTGGGGTGGGGAGGGGAAGCCCCGGGGGGAGGGGAAGCGGAGAAAGGGCATTGCAGCAGCGGGAAGAGCAGGTGCAGCAGCGGGAAGAGCAGGTGCAAAGGTCCTGTGGCAGGAGTCTTCGGTGTGCTCAGGAAGCGCAATGAAACAGTGAGGGGAGCAGTGGGAGGAGAGATGGCCAGAGAAGGCTCCAAGTGCCAGGTGGCACGAGATGAGAGGCCACCAGAGCAGAGAAAAAACACAGCAGGACAGTGTTTAAGAGGTCGTTCTGAGGTCTCCCTGGTGGCACAAAGGGGGAAGTCTCAGCACTATGCAGCCATCCCCAGCCACTGCAGCAGAGTTCGATCCCCAACCAGGGAGGTGACCCGCATGGCACAGCAGACCTCTCCTGTCTCACCCGCTGCCCCCCTCAACAGTACTATTTCAGTAGATCGGCCTGTTCTGCTCCCCATTCTGTCTCTGGTGAATCCTCTCACCTTCCCACACCTCTGGCCAGTACACCAGCTCTTGTTTGCATAGATAAATAAATCTTTTTTTTTTTTAAAGAAATTATTCTGGCTGTTGCATAAGATGGAAAGAGCCTCCAAATGGAATCAGGACATTGATGCAGGAATCAGAAGCTACTGCATTAACCCAGACACCAATTAAGGGCTTTGCCCAGGGTCAGAGGGTCGCAACGCTGACAGAACCTGGACATGTTTTAAAGGTAGAGATAAGAGGTGTGAGAAAGAAGGGCATCCTGCTGCCCCTACAGTCCTGCCTGAGCAACTGGAAGTTTGCAGCCGCCGTTCATCAGTATGACAATGACAGGGGACTGTGTCTAGGGCTCGGAAAATCCTGCGTCGCCTTTGGGGCACATTAGGTAAGCCACACAGGCTGGGATCATCGGCATGTAGGTGGTATTTTTAGTCATGAGCCCAGATGAGCTCACAAAGGGAGTAGACGTGGAAACAGCCAGGAGGTTCAGGGACTGATGCCGCAGCTGGGGAGAGGTCTGGAGGACCCGAGCCCAGAGGGAAGGCCCAGCTAGGAATCAGAGGGACACGGGGTGCTGTCCCTGGCCAGTGGATTCAGACCGTCACTGCCCGCCTGCTGCCCACAGCTCACATCGAGATTCAACATCGGGCAGATCCGACCTTGAACCTCACTACCCAGCTGTGTGACCTTGAGCGAGTTCTCTCACCTCTCGCTGAAGCTCAGCACCCCACCTGTCAGGCAGGGAGGACAGCAGTACTTGGGTGTTAGGGATGACCTAGCTTGCTGCCTGGTGTACAGTGAGCACCCCAAGATGGTGGGGCTGCAGCTCTTCATTCCTGGGGCGCCCGTGCAGGCTCAATTAGCAGCCAATTAGACTCACAGGAGGAAAACCTGTGTCCCTGGCACCTTTGCAACAGACAGTGCAGACCTCTCCCTGCCAACCGCAGCAAGACCAGTCAGCTTCTCACATCCTGAGTCACTAAGGAGACGCCCCCACAGGGGAGATGACTGCAGTGGTAAAGGGGCACCTGTATGGTGACCGGCTAACTCACACCATGGGCCTCCTGCGCTTCTGGTTATGGTTACAGCGGGGCTGGTGCTCGGCCTCTAGCAACCCCCAGCACCCCTTAGCACCTCACAAGGAGAAAGCAAGCCTGGCACTGTACGCCAGTGGGGTGTCAGTAACCCTGGGGTTTCCGCAGCTTCCTTGAATCGGTGATGACCTGCTAATAGCAAAGACACTGGTTTTCCATTTCTGGAAGAGATGAGAAGTTTTACTTGTGGAAGTAAAAAAGAAGAGAGGATTTAAAGAAAATGCTAATTGCATAGTAATCAAGCAGTTAGAGGGGTGTGCAGCATGTCAGGGAGTGGTAGTAAAGCAGGTACCCCAAGGCAGCTTCCAAACACCTGAAGATTGGGAAACAGTCCCACACCTGGACCCCCAGCCACCCTCCGCAAGAGCCACATCAGGGTCACAGCCAGCTGCTAAGACTCTAGAATATTCTGGAAGCACAGATGGGGGAGAGAGCCTCCTGGCCGTCCAACCCCACCTCCCCCAATCCAGCTGGCCAGCTGTAGCCCTGGACCTCACTGTTGGGTGCAACAGGCAAGCTAGTCTGGTTACCTGCAGACCAGGGTGTCCTTCAGCTCTCAGCCAAATCCCCACCCACCCAGGACCCCCAAAGTACCCCGCTATCCTGCAGGAGCCTCCCCCCTGAGACTACACCCAGATGAGCCTGGATAGCTCTGCCAAGACTTTCCTTGGGGGCTGTGACCTGATCTCCTGGGCTCAAGCCTGGTCAGCTGAAATCCTCATCCACAGAGTGGACAAGAGGATGGGGTGCCCTGTGGCCTGAGTGACGAGAGCAGCCACTCCACACCCCAGGGTTTTGTACTCAGCGAACATAGCCCACTCACAGGAATTAGTGTAAACCCCCACTATGTGCACTGGGGATAAAAATCCACCCAGATCTACCAGGTCCTGGAGTTTACATTTGCTGACACAGAGAATGAACAAGTTAAATAAACTGGAGGTTGGTATAGAGAATAAGGGGGAGGGAAGGGGTCAGGGCTGCAAGACAGACCCTGGCATCTGGGAAGTGGCAACTTATGAGCTCAGCAAGAATCAGCAAGGGCAGCCCTGGAAGAAGCGCATTCAGGGCACAGGAAGCATCAACTGCAAAGACCTGGATGCAAAAGTCAGTCTGGTGCCTTCTAGAACCTTCAGAATGGTCATGTGACTGGTGCAGAGAAAAAGAAGAGGGAAAGGGGAACCGGTAAAACTGAATGGTTGGAGGGCTGTGTCCTGAGGTCAGACCCCGACAGATCTCTTTATCTGGAGAGAGTGGGGGCCGCAGAAGGTGTGAAGCAAGGAAGGACCATAATCTTTTTTTTCCGCCAGCTCTTGTGCAGAAAATGGATAGTAGTGGGTCTGCAGTGGAAGCAGGGGGAGAGGGTGGGAGACTTTCCAAGAGGCAGCAAGACGGGGAGGTGGCTGGCATTGGTGATGGCCTGTGCTAAGAGGCGGCACCCACGGACCTCACTCATGAACCAGGTGAGAGGGAAAGAGGAAAGTTTCTCCTACCGTCTGATGCGATAGCATGGTAGTGCCTTTGTCATGATGGGGAAGACCCGGGAGAAGCAGGTGGGGAAAGCTGCATTCCTGGAGCAACCTGTGGACAGCTGGGCACTGAATCTAGAGCGTTCAGAAGAAATGGCCATGGGGAGGTCGCCAGTAAGAATACTGTGGTGGGTACCTGATGGCTGCTCATACCTCGCCAACCTCACCATCCCTCAAGCCTGGCTCTCCCAGCGCACCCGGGTACCTGCAGCGTGTCCAAGACCTGGCCGGCCATGCCCGTGGTGAGGGAGGCCACCTGGACGGCCTGCTTCCGCGCCGCCAGCAGGATCCTGCAGTAGGTGAAGCAGATGGCGCCTGAGGGCAAGAAGAAGGTGAGGCCGGAGGCCACGAGGACGAAAGGAAGGCTGGCCAGCAGACGGCACTGGCCCGGGGCAGGTGCCCGCACTCGGCCCAGCTCGTGCCAGCCCAGCAGCAGGGGCAGGAAGGAGGTGAGCGCGGCCAGGCTCCAGGCGCCCAGGACGAGCGCCAGAGCGCGTGGGGACGTCATGCGCAGCTTATAGCGCAGCGGAGAGAGGATGAGCAGATAGCGGTCCAGGCTGATCAGGCAGAGGTTGAGGATGGAGGCGCTACAGCACATCACGTCGAAGGCGGCCCAGAGCAGGCAGAGGCTGCGCGCCAGCACCCAGCGCCCGTACAGCGCGTTCAGCATGGCCGGCGGCATCACCACCAGCCCCACCATCAGGTCTGACGTGAAGAGCGACACCAGGAAGAAGTTGGACGTGTTGCGCAGGGCGGGCTGCGTGCAGATAAGCGCGATGAGCAGCGAGTTGGCTGCCGCCGTGAGCGCGATGACCACACACATTGCGGCCGCCACCCAGACGCTGCCCCCTGGGTCCGACGGAGACCGCAACCCCCAGTCCGGGGTGCTGGTGTTGGCAGGGCCCGGCTCGGGGACCATGGGCGCGTAGGACGGAGGGCGAGGACTTGAGGCCCCAGAGGGCGCCGGAGGAGGCGGTGGGGTGGGCCAAAGTCAGGGCGAGGGACCTGGAGGAGCTGAGATTAGATGGGCGTGGTTGGGGAGAACAGCCCCCCGGGACTGGGGCGCTGGGCCAAGGGGCGGCGACCCACGGAAGGAGAGGGGTTGTCTGGGCGTCCTCAGGGCGGGTTAGGAAGTTTTGGGGGGGAGGGGGCCTGACGAGAAGTAGAGCCCTCTAGAGGGGGAGGACGGTAAAGTGGGGCGGGGGCGCCTGCCGGAGCCGAGACCCCAGAAGGTGGGAGCTGGGGACTCACGGGCGCTCTCCAGCCCGGGCAAGCTCCCCCGCGCCCGTAGGCATGTGGGGCGCCAGGTCGGGAGTCGTAGTGCTTGGGTGGCAGGTTGGGGGGACACGGGCACGAGCGATGCCCCTGGCGGGAAAGGCAGGTCTCAGAGCCCGAGCAGAGGAAGCTCGGGGCTGGGGCGG